ACATCAAAATCAGAGATGTCCTTCTCCTCAATTTCAGAAAAATCTGCTTATATCTCTTCCAATACATGTTGGATCACCCTGAGCTTTTGTACACATCATTATACAATAGATATCATAAATTGCATACTAAAAGAACTTTTTCTACCATCTAGAAATGCGAGGTATAAGGTAGATCTCCTCCATCCCCTATCACTCACTTTGCCATGCATTTTGAAGGTTTGTGTATTGTTCTCGAGGTCTTTTGGAGGTTTTTGAGGTCAGGAATACTCTTTTTATACACTTCTCAGGGCTCTTGTACCTCACCAGAGGGTTCATTTTTATGTTATTTATATTTATGTATATACTAGTACTATCTCCTGCCCCACAAAGTGCCTAGAGGATGCTCCAATAGGTTCTAATCACAATTATGACCCCAAAATGGACTAGGGATAAACACTGTACCATTACAGATATGACCATAGAATCAACCACCCACTATGGACATGGACAGGACATATCCATATCCATACAATGGATGTCCTTACAGTTCTCAAAATGGTATTGACAGTTGGTATTATGTTTGCCATGGCCATACAATGTAGGGGTACATTATGTCTCTGTAGTAGTATGTAATAAATTGTCAGTGTCTGTCCAAATCAGTCATCACCCAGTATCTCTTCAACTGCTGTTCTCGCTAAATGCAAGTGGTGCTTCATCACCATCAGTGTTCTGATAGTATTCACTTTGAGGTTAGAATGGCACAGCAAAATAGTGTCTCAGCTGCTGGAAAAGATACATTTTACTGCAACTGCTGAACTTATAGTCACTGTGAGTGGCATTAAATTATCAAGTGAACATGAAATACACCAGAAATAGACATGATGTCTCAGGCCAGCCAGTAAAGACAAAGAAGAGTCTGTCGCCATACATACCACCAGGCTGCAGGATCACAGAACTTGATATCCTCTTGTGGGAGTGCAAAGTACTGATCCAACTCGTTTACATTGACTGGAGCACTCTTCCTGTAGTAAGCCATGAAATTACCCTTCTGCAGTGAGCCCTGACCAAGAAAGGAGGTTGATGTTGAAGATTGTGATGAAGTGTGAACAATCAGTGGGGTTGCTATTGGAGCTAATGGTCAGGAAACATACTTGTCATTGTAATACATGTAGAGACAAGCTTTCTATTCCTTAAGGAACTGATCCAGTTCAACATCACCTTTAAGCTCATACTTGAGACAGGAATAAGAGATGTGGGGATCAAGAACTGAAGAGATGGATCAGTCACTTGTCATCCTCAATAGAGGGTGAGCACATATGAGCTGCCCAAATATAAAAGGGAGATGCATTGAACTTGTAGTAGTAATCACTCAACTTTTGATGGGCATCCAGGAGACCTTGCTTTATCTCTGGTGCTGTGCTATCTGGAAGGCCAGTAAGAATCTCTTTAAAATGTTGCTGAAGTCCATAAAAGGTTGCATGCATCATTGAGAACATAGGTGTCTTTGTTGTTGACATCTTTGTGGTCACAAGGTGGAATTGCTTAAGCCAATCTGTTACCATCAAGATTGCAACCCAATCCTCATCAGAAAGTTCATAGTGGTCTTGTAATTCCTTGTGTGTTGTGATAAATATGTCAACAGCCCCCCAGTAGTCAAGAGCATGCCCTGAATGAACAGGGATCAATATATATATCTGTCAAACACAGGAAGAAACAGACACATACAAAGCATCTGATGTGTGGACGTCCAATGGGTCTGAACATTGAGGATTAGCAATAACACTGTCTCTGCTGCTCTCTCTGCTTTCTTCTTCAGAAATTCTCTTGCTCTGTCAAGCCATGATGCTCTTCACTGAGGGCTGGAACATACTGTGATGACAATTTTGTGGAGCTACAGAAATATGTGGTGTCAGTAGATTGCTCCCTGAAAACAAAGAATGATTACCTTCTTAACAGCAGTAAGAACCTCAGTGTTGTCTCCCATGCATGCTTCATCTACATCATCACTGAGTGGTTCCATTGCAGTGGCCTCCTCATCACTCTCTCATCCAACAGGAAGAGTGACAGCATCTTGATACAACATCTTATGCCCAGCAGCCTTTGTTGACTCTGATTTGCTAATAGCTCCAATTGCCTTGAGAAGCTAAAGGACTGGTAAGAGCTATGTTTATGCTAAAATGTGTTTTCTACCTTCAATGCAGCTAGGTGAATGGTGTGAGGCATACAACAAAGTCGAGATTCTTGGGCAGAGAACTCAATACTCTCTAACTGGCAGCAAAATTCAATGTCCTCCATCATAGTATCATTATTTGTTGCACTATCCATAATGAAAGCCATGACCTGAAATATGGCTGTGAGCAACTCCAAAGGCAAGAGAAAAGCAAAATTGCATACCCATCCTACTAGCCCATATTTATTCAATGTTTCCCAGACTGCTTCTGCCATATTAACCCCCAAGTGTTCTCCAATGAGTTTATGAAAATCAATAAGAACCTCCTCTGAGAATGCTCAGACATTTACA